ATTGATAATTCTGGGCTTTTACTACGTAGAGCTTTATTTTCTATATTCATAAAATACTTACGTTTAGATGAAGTATTTCTGTTGATTAATTTAAATATACTCTGAAGTGCATACACATCATTCTGCTCGTAGTAGCGGCATTTTAATTTCCTCAGCTTTCTTTTAAAAGTATTTTGGCCCCTATTAGCATTATAAGCCACACGGCCAATAACTGGAGCAGTGCAGTCAAGACAATATATCAGGTTGTGGTGTAGATTGGAAAGCGCAATGTCAACATTGTTTGTGGTAAGATAAGTTTCCCATGGTAAACATTGAATGATAGTTCCAGTCCGTTTCCATGTTTGTTGATCAAAATGTCTGCTTTGGTACATCAATGAAGCTTTAGAGTTCAATTGTATGGCGTTTAAAGAGTGAATAATACTCAATACAACTCTATGGCCACTCATAAAAAATTCATGACTGGTATGCACTGAGATAGAGTCTATGTTGATTGTGAACATTTAATCAAGTGTATTATTCCCCCCGGTCGGTTTTCGGACCTGTTGAACCCATCCACAAATTTCTAATGTTTCAACTAGCTTGTTATATCGACCTGATACCGGAGTCAAGCCCCATGTAATTTTTGGCAGATTAAAATCACCTCCGATGATTTTAAAAGTATGCAGTTGGTGCGAAGCAATGGAAAAGATGTTTGTTAGTAATCTATCAAACTTAGTATCCGCATGAGGTGGTCTATATATGCATCCCACCAGTAAATAATTTTGGGATCCACAGTTTACAGTAACCCAAGTGGAGTCGTCTATAGCATCAAGGGATTTATCCTCAAATTTGCATGCTTGGATGTCTGAACGGACATAGATAATTGTACCGCCTCCTATTCCATAACATCTATCGGTTCTAAAGAAAACGTAGTTATCTACATTCAAGGAATGATCGGATATAGATGAATTACACCACGTTTCCGTAATAAGTACAATGGTTGGATTTACAAGGAATAAAAGAAATTTAAGATGAATAATTTTATTGGACAGAGAGCGGGCATTGAACGAAAGAATAAGAAACCCAGAGTTATCATAGTGAAGCAGGTTAGAGTATAAATCGCAATTGGTAGTTCCATGAATACTCGTAGGATTAGCTAAGGTAAAAGTTGTGTTGCGAGGGGAAATAGATTCAACCACTTTGTCATCATGTGAAATATGTTTATCGTTGCCGGCAGGAAAGCCGGTGGAATTACAAAAAAAGTCTTCCCACTGTTATTGGATACAACATCTGATAAAGGCATAGTGTACATATTGGGAGCCGGACCAAGAAGGCTATCAGGTCTATGTGTGCGGCCAAGTGGCAAATTACAATCCAGATAACTATTTATACCTGACGTATGGGTAACGTGTTTGGGACGTTTATTTCCAAGGTTTGTGGTTGATTTTGGCTTCTTCATAAGTTGGAGAGGATTGTGTGCTGTTAAACATACTTGCGATGGTTTGCGAGGTTCGAATATATCAACGTCAAGTGCGTGGTCAGTTATATGAATGTTATGATTAGTTTTCCTGTTATCCGTTGCACAGTTACTGTAACTGGGTGTTGCACTAACAGGGGTTTGGACTGTGTTATCCCATTCGTCATGAGCACAACTACTTCGGGTTGAGTCTAAGTCAACATTCTTAAGAAGATGGACAGCACCTACATCGGGATTACTTTCTTCTGGGTTTTGAACTTTAGGAGATTCAGAAGAGTTTTTCGGTGGCGGCATACTTGTAAAGCTAGACGTCCTCTTAGAATCGGACTTAACTTTACGACCATTAGGATTATGATGCGTTTAAGAGTTTGACGCTGATGGTCTGTAGCTATCTCTTCCTGCTTTTCGCTGGCATGGTGTTTTATCCGGAAGAGGCTTAATATCCTTGAAAATCTGTTTTTGTCTCAGTGAATTGGAGGAAGTTAAAAATTCACTGGAGTCTACAGATGAGTTGAATTTGAACAATATCGGTGAGTGCATACCAGGATGACTTCTTCTTAATCTTGTGCATACACATGGTACGTGTGTCATATTGCCGGCTCTAAGCAGACTAGATTTGATATATTTAAGGGCATGTGTATCCGGTATATTAAACACAATTGCATTGCTAGATCGTCTTATTCTTTCAATGGTGGATGCATAACACTGGATAACATTCATTGTCATTTCCTCGTTTGTTTTCAATGATGCTTTGATGATTGTGGATCCGTGAGACTCCTATCCCACAAGTGCGTTTCTTGTTGCTTTGGAAAGCATTAGAGCAACTCCCTGAGTGTGCGGAGCATCTTCCTCTTCATGACGGGAGTATAGTAGCATCTCTCCCGTATTTAGCCTCTGTTGTCCAGCTTGGATCCAATGGGTTCCGCTGATTCCCAGTACTGCCAGTTTGTATCTCCTCATTTCCATTGCTATTTGACTGGTCTTCCCGGTCTCCCACATTGTTCGGACGTTCCATGTACCTATAAAAATGGTTACTCTGGTTGTAAGAAAGGACATCGGCCTCGTGGCTTCCGAAGGAACTCGGCTTTCACCATGAGGCATCATAGTTCTAAATGAAGGCCTTTTAACTCCCAGGGCAGAGTTTACGTGGTCTGAATTGTTTTTTCTGGTTAGCGTTTTTTAATGAGTTAGTTTTCTACGGGATGGGGTCGCTAACCCCATGTCCAACCCTCCTCTTTACCTGGGCTTGGGACCGGCAGTAACTCTGGAAGAGCTACAGGCGTTTTTGTCACATACATTGTGTCATAAGTCACACTTATCGTCTGACTTTTCAGGGGTTAGCCTCCTGTCAGGAGATTCACTTGTTGACCTAGAGTACGCAGGTGATATGGTTCTATCTGATGAAGACGCTGAAAAATTACAAGATCTTATGAATGCCTAAAGTAACAATGTGAGCATGTTTGTAATGTGATTTTCTCCCACTAAATGCAAAATATTGCTTCAGAACTTGTGTACGTCAATGTATGAATTTGATGATTAGGATTGCACCTGTCAGCTGTCCTCCATGTATGATATTGTACTGTAGTCAGTCGTGTGAGTTCCGGATAATGTTGACAATCTTCTCAGGGACTCGATAGTGCCGAAGAAGTTTCCATAATGTTCTCCTATCTACACTGTCAAACGCCTTTTCATAATCAATGAAGTTGATGTATAGTGACGAGTTCCACTCAACTAATTGTTCGACGATGATCCGTAGTGTCGCAATTCGGTCTGTACACGACCGATCCTTACGGAATCCAGCCTGTTGATCTCGATTTCAGAACATAGACTCGAAGTTAAAGAAAGTGCTTTCCTTCTTTCTTCTCTTCTTATATATCTACATATCAATTTTTTGCCATTTATCTGTTAATCAATTTGTATATATTACTTTTCAGTTATTTTTTCCTCAAAAATGATTTTCTCAACAATCTCAAGAAGATTTTACATTTTTAACCAATGAAGGTTTTTTATTTGTCTTGTACTTTCTCCTACGTTCTACCACCCAAGGAAATATGAATTTTTATTTAAGCAAAATTTTAGATGTATTGAACATACAGTTGGGAACGTATGAGATTATTGAATGGCAAGCATGGAACATGGTAACTTTCAACTGGTTTCTCGTCATGCAATCTAAATTCTTTTATTAATAATCTACTGAACATTGGGCTGTCATGTTTATTTGACGGACAGTGATATTAGTCAGTTGATCAAGTAGAAGTAGGTAAATCAGGGTAAGAATCTGAAATTTATTGATTGAATGTTGAACATTTGTAGTATCGGTTGCATATGTTAAGCCCACATATTTTATTCTGGCTTCCTGACAAGCCAATTTATTCATTATTCTTGAGTCATTTTTTCATCTTGTTAATGATTCGCTTATTAATCGTGACTGTTTTTTATATGAACATTTGTGTATGCACATGTTGTCCTATTGATCACGTCTGTAAGTTATTTTCGTTCGACTATAAATATTGATTCAGACATGGTTAAATTCAGTTGGTTCACACTCCTTCTCCACTATGTGTCATTTCGCTTCTCTCTCTTTGCTTCATTTCTTATATCGTTTGTCTGGATCAACGATTGTATGAAATACACGCACTGGAAATCCATTCTCGTATATGACTTATTTAATTCTGTTGTTCACCAGCGCGATTTAAGTAGACGATTATATACAAGGGTAGCTAGGATATATATTATCAATAGCAATCAGTGATACGATCTAACTGGAGTCAGATATCGGGCCACTAAACACTTTTAGAACCAGTCAACCATTAGCCTAGTCCCCAATCATCACCATATACTGTTGAATAAATCAAAGTCATGTTTATTTGATTTCCGTAGATCGCATATGTGAGGACGGCCGACTATTAAACTCGAGGAAGCTCTTAGAAGCTGAAAAAAGCCGAAGATATTCCAGGTAGTCAACTTGTGGAAGAATATTCCAGAACCTCTACTTTTAGCTTCCCTATTGGATAAATGCTAAAAACCCCTATTTGCTGATTGGATGAATATAATGATGATTTCGCTTTTACTAAAAACTATAAATACCTGAGAGTTTTGGACCATATTTGACACTGCTTGGAATAGCATTCCTTTCATTTGTCTTTCGTCTTGTAACTTGTGACTTCCAGGGTTCTAGCATTCGAGTGCTGAAGTTATATGTGGTACTATTAAGAATGTAAACTCTAGATATAACAGTGTATTGGTTAGATTATTTAAAATATAGTACTAGTTGTATCTCTTGGACTTGTTGTCCTAAAACAATATGTATTATGTGAAATTTGTTCCGTTTTTGGGGTTATACTTGAATGTGATTAATAACTGTTTAGCTGGAAAAAGAAAACAAATTCAGCATGTTAGTATGAATGCAATGTCTACCATCCTATTTCATTCATTATAAAGTAAGATATTATATTTGATCAATCCACAATATAATCGATCATTCCAAAAAACACAAGGTCATAACAAGAATTTAACTTATTTATTTACATTTACTATAAGTTTCATGTATTTTACCTCAGTTATACTACTCTCATCATTATTATTAGTATTTTCATTTTTACTTAATTTTATTCCAATTTCCAGTCATTTAAACGTCTGCCCAAATAATAAAACTGTTATATACAATAATAATAATGAATTAAATAAATGTTATGCATTACAATTGAATTTAGCTAAACAACGTCATATTATTAGATTAATTAAACGTGATCAATTTACAATGAATTTACAATTAGCATGTCATTTATGTTCAAATGATAATCCAATACATTTTCAATGGTATCGTATTCTACGTAAAAAATATAATCAAACAATATTTCACTTAAATAATAAAACATTCTATGATCATAAATGGATACTGAATAGAGATTTACTTGAACCAGTTCTAACCAATACAATCATAAATGATCCATGTTTAATAAATGGAACAAATGAATTAGTTTATAAAAAATTCGATCCATATCATGATTCTGGTACTTATGTATGTCAATCATTAAATAATAATAAACATCCTTTAAATTTTATATGGTATCATATAGATTATATTAATGCTTATACAAATACATGGTCTAGATTAAATTTACCATTTATAGAACGAATGAATAAATCTGTAACTACATATAATCAATTAATACAATTACAAAAATATATTGAAGAAGAAATGAATCGGCCAGAATATTTTCATGATCAAACATTCAGTTTACTACGTATTACATCAAAATCATTTCATAATTTAACACACTACAAATATTGTGGGAATATCCATGTCCAACAAAATCGTGTTTGTTATGTACAGATACCAAGAAAACTACCAATCCATATTGATAATAGTAATAATAACATAGAAGAAGTAAGATTAATTTATTTTATATTATTCAATGGTTTCTATGAATTTGGACAATTTTATGATGATGATGATGATAATACTAATCAATTAAATTTTCGGCGGTTATTTAAAAAATCTTCAGAAAATTTAGCAACTCAATTAGGTTTTCAATTATTTTTAAATAAAACTTATTTATACATACCATGCCAATATAATTTTTTTAAACAATTACCTAATTTAAACGAAACATTTCAACCATTAAACATATTAAATCTTTATATAACTATTACATATCATTTACATTGTGTTCATCAATTAGATACAATAGAAATGATGAATTTACCTTTAAAATATGATGTAACTAAGATGAAATTAAATATTCATGATTATCATCATGTAAATTATATGAAATTAGAAAAATTAGCTATGGAATATGAACCATTCATAACATTAGATTGTTATCTTACTAAAGAATATATATGTAACCATACTACTGCCACTAATAATAATAATAATCTCATTAAATGGAGTACAACTAATTTAACATTTTATTCACCTACTATATTCAATGAAAGAATTTATATAAATGAAAAATGTCAATTAATTATTCATAATGTCAAATTAATTGATTCTAATATTTATAATTGTTACATAAAAAATCAATATCAATCAAATAATCCATGGCAACTAAAACTATCATATAGATTAAAAATTGAAAAATCTTATTATCAATGGCCTAGTAAAAATAATTTATTAATTGGTTTATTATTTCTTGTTATATATAGTATGTTTATTATAATAATATGGTTTGTTTTAATGATTTATAATGTATATATATTTAAACAATTAGCGGCGAGACTATAACTTATGGACGGACCAACCAGGTATAAGATAACAGGTCTTGAATTTTTGACGCGAAATTCACTCAACCATTTGACTTAATAGTGTGTTAGCATTTTAGCTAATGTCAGTTCATGATGAAATCCCTTAATCTAGTTCCTAACCCTAACCATCAAATGTAAATCATAATCCTAATTTCTTACATTGCTTGATAGTCATCATTTAGTCCTAGTTAGTAGGTAGATGTTCCCATGGTTATTTTAGCATCACTCAAAGGTCGTCCATATATTATAGTCTCACCCAATTAGTTTATAGTAGCTCACGTGAAATTGAGTTTGTTCACATTTAATTTGGTGAAGCCGTTTTTTGTTAACTTATTTAACACGGATAGAGTTATTCGTACAATAACAAGTTATCTTATATCATTGTACCTTTATTATTGTTGCACTTGTATGAATATGTATACTTAAGCATTGTTTACTGCCTATGCATATATTCACTCTGCTAGCCTTACTATCAACCGCTTGATTGATTCAATGATTCATTCATTTCACTATATATATGTACACTTTGATCCTGTTCATTGACTGGCTCATTCAACTCGCTTGCTCTTTCATGCTTGTGTACAGTACTTGTAATTTTGGTGTCCTGTGTGTGGTGCAATAATAAATGTAATCAACACTTAGTATTCGCCTTCTGATTAACTCACCGTTGCGGCGTTATCTAGTGACGGTTATCAGGACGAACTGTATACGAAGTTTAAGGATTATATTGAATACCGACCACCACACACCTGTAAACCATCTATCAACATCCCCATCGAATCACCAATGCGTAGAACTCGTCATCTCAATACGTGGACGAATGTGTACTCACTGACACAAGGGGAAGTTTAAGATAGACCATCATTTCAAATATCGTGATTTGAAAATGATGGCTTCTACCAACTTCATGTTCAGCTAAGATCTTGATATTAATCTAACGTTAACCAATATGCATGGTCGATAATTGCCGTAAACGGGAGGATATACTGGCGAACAATGTACGGATGGATTACAACTATTTCTGGTATATATTACATATATGTTACTTCACCCCCAGATTTAAACATGAGTGTATGACAGCTATCATTCACTTGTTTTTAACAAACATCATAAATTCAACAAAGTGCTTTGATACGCCTACTGTTATTGACACAGGTCCCATCAACTTCAACATCCCGCTTCATAATCTACTTTACATGTAAACCCTGTGCCTAAGTGCAGCGAGCAATAGCGGTTTACTTTCCCTCATTTCTGCAGTTACACTGACATTTAAAACAAATATCATTTTCATGGAACAGTCTAACTGCACATAATGGTTAATAAGAATACTATGAAAAACTAAGTCTATAAATGTAGACGCATAATGGTGTAATATTAATATTACCGTTTGACTTAGGGAATTATTAAGTTCAGTTTTCAGCACTGCGTATGTGATCACGTAAGTGTGCATAAGATCGTTGTTCATGAAATAATGAAATGGATTTCTTACTTAATTATTCGTGACTCATCCTGCGCACAGACCATGACGACCACCTCTGTACTTTACGTGTCATCTATTATATCCGTGAGCTGGTCTAGTATCCAGATAACATCAGCTCTTCATTCCATCCTTGTGCATGCGAATAAAATCGGACAGCCATGACGGAAGTTATCAGTTATCACCAATTGAAACAATGAATACTTCACAGTAAAATTTGTCGGGCAACATCCTCATTTCTCATTATTGGTTTTGTAAGTAGAATCTTAACCGACAACTTCCACTTATTTTTGGTATGATGCTATCCCATCCTACATACAGATGCAGATCCTACTTACGGGTCTTTATTTGAAAGAAGATTCTTTCAGTTCGCCTCATATTTTAAGAAAATGAAGACTTTCAACCGAGAACCATAGCCTGAAAATATAGGAATACGTACATAATTGTAGACATTTTAGCTTTCATTGTCTTCATTTCGGTTATAGTGACTTCATGGCCAGCCTCTCTAACACATTCGATCGCTTGATCTAAGAATGATGACTTGAACAGTGCTGACCTCAGGTTCTTCTTACCCCTTGGAGCAAATCGCCTCGTCAACGGATCATCCAAGAACTTTCACAAGAATGATTTCATCTCACCGGACGTGATTTCATCACTTAATCAACCTGTTGAAGGACCGCACGGATCAATAAATGCAAATTCGTAAACTTAGATCTGAAATGTAATTTTAAATTACCGTCCTCACGGTTTAGTAATGATTCCTAGACCTTGTGGTTTACGTTTTCGGTCAAACGTATACTTGGATCTAGTGTCGCTTATCCGGAAACTCCCCATATGTATATAGCGAGTGCGAGAAATCTAAAACATAAGAATATATATCACTTACGTGCTGGAATTCACTCAACACTAATCCGAATTCCACCTTAATCATGAACCATCTGCTCAGAATGATACACCTGAACTCACCAGTCAGGTCAGCCGATGGATTTCTGGGACAGGAAGCACGACAAATGAGACTATGTCAGTAGAAGACAAAATAAAAAATGTATAATTGTGGAACAACATCACAAACAGCAGTGCAGAAGGTACTATTAACAGTAAAGGGGAACGATAACAGTTCCTACCTCACTGATCGTGAGTCATCTTTTTAACTTCGAATAGAACCAGATGTTGCCCAGTTTATCAGCATACAGAATTGTGTGTGATTATTTTTATTCATATTATTTACTTACCTGGCTATATTGAACTATAGGAAAAATTATTCATTCGATATTTTTTCATAAAATGTCAAACATCAGTAACCAAATTGGGGTTTATGCCAAAAAATACAAAAGCTTTGTTTATTATGTTGATAATAAACTTGGTGGTTTTCAGATATCAACAGTCTACATGACTGTGCCAACAACTGAGCACCAAGCTAACCTACACTTACGCAACCGACCCCAAGCAATTTGAATACGGAATACCCTCTTCTATACAGCCACTCAAAGTTGGCGGAAGGGTATGCGCGGTCCAGTTTGAAAGTCGATTACTTTTCTCCCGTGTTCTATATTTAGGTGTGGAAAGAGACGGATTGTACTTAACTAATGACCTATCAGTCTGACCATCATTGTAGTTAAATTCCTTGAAAAGATTAGTATTGTTATGTGAAGATGCAAAAAGTGTTTCTAGATTGACAAAACTTCAAACAGTAACACCTACTATGTATCGTGCCCGCCTAGTGAAATCAAAAGTCAGAAGCGAGGAGGTTCGAATAAATATGTGATAGACTATTAATATATCGAGAAACGACTTATCTAACTGGCTAGCGGTTGCAGGGGAAATTGAGCACTTTATGCTCACTAGTGATCTGATGCGAATGCATGACCGAGCATCTTCAACCAGCTGAGTCCATTAAAACTAACGTGGTCAGCATCCAATGTTGAATATCTACAGGGCTATTTATTTACCGCTACAGATTACTCCCTCCTGGTGGTGTAGTGATGACCCTAAGATGTGGCCAGCCAGAAGTTTAAACCCAACGAGTTTGTCACTGTTAAACACTCTCCTGATAGCTTGCTAAGTTTAGCAGCGTCGGGTCGTCTTTCCTTACTATAAGGGACCATGTAGTGCAATATAGTAATAAAGAAAAAAGTACAATGAAAATTTCGGTCCATCGCAAACTTTGTCCTTCTCTTTTCGTCTTTTTCAGCCGTCCTGGGAAATCGCAGTAAACAGGCTTCCCTTCTAAATACACCGCTTCGATGCGATTGATGCTGCTGTTGTCGTTAGTTCCGTCTTTACCGATTACATAGTAGTTATTTTCAGGCTAAAGTACTTTGAAGGGTCCTTCGTATTTTGATTTGGGAGGCCGTTGAAATGAGTCTAGACGTACAAAGACGTGTGTATTATATTGTAAGTCAGGTTGAACAAAAACATCAGTTGACTGCGGTCGAATGAAAACAGGTCTAACTGAACTTACTGTGTTTGTAAGCTAGCTTGTTTAGGAGGTAAGACCCATTCTCATTGAAGATGATGATCAACGATGTGACGTTCCATAAACGAGTTGAGCTACAATGCATCCATTTCCAGCTTTTACTGGATTATCAATACCATGTAAAACGAGTGGAAGGGCGCTGGCCCACTGTGAAACGTTTACAGCTGATAATAAAGCTTTTAGCTGTCGATGAAAGCGTTCTACCAACCTGTTTGCTTGTGAGTAGTAGGTGGTCGTTCGAAATTGTGTGGTTCCTAATAGTGTAGCCAAATGACGGAAAAGTTCAGATTCGAACCAGTGTCTACAGTCTGTACTGATAGTTGAGGGGCAGTCGACAAAAGCGCGGGCCACTGTTTCAACAGTAATGTCCTTGATGGGTACTGCTTTTGGCCATCGAGTAAAAAGGTCTACGCAAGCTAATAGATAAGAGTATCCATTTGAATCTGGTAAAGGTCTTACCAACTCCAGATGAACATGGCCGAAGCGAGCATCGGGAGTTTTGAATGAGCTAGGAGTTCCTAACCGAAAGTTCTATACCTCGATTCGGTGTCTATTAACCGTCTTGAGAAGAATGACAAAGGTTGACAGGAGTGGTTAACCCATTATTGTAAGATTCCTCCGATTGCTGAGTCTGATGTGCCTACCGCGATACTAATGAGCGATTGGGTGTTCTAGTGTACAAGCATGGTTGCTTTTGCGATAAGTTCCTCAACTGTGGAGGATACTTTTCTTGCGCTGCTGTCCAAATTGATGAATTTCAAACTTCCACGAAGTTGGTAAGCTAGAGGTTTCATAAGGGACTCGCAGTTTGGTATGAGCCATCTACAAGGCACTTAAACGTATGTGATTGCCTAATTGTCGTCGGTTCTGGAAATCCAAAATGGCCGACACTATGCTTCCCAGAGGTTGGATGCCTTAAGCACCAACAGCGTGTGTCGAGGAAACCTAGTAAGTCAGTTCCGATTTGGCATTTCTGAATGTTTACAGTAGTGCCATGCTTTCGTAATCGTTCAGATGCTGGAGATGAGATTCTCAGTCCGAACTTGTAATCAGGTAGTCATCATGTGGTGTGTGCCACTTATATCGACATGAGTGGTATATGATGTTGGTCGTGAACAGAAGGTCTGAAAGCAGAGAGACAAGAGTATCGAACAGTAAAGAATGGAAATAAAATGCGATTTGTATGAAAATG